AAAGAAGATGAAATTGGGGTACAGATTTAACAGTGATTCTGTGCTGTTTTCGATTATGATGCGTACAGCTGCAACTTGATCCACAGGTAATTTGTGGTTCTTAAATCCAGCTTGTTCTCGGCGGAGTTCTGCGACCAATACACTTTTTAGTCTCATTAGGGTGGTGTGACTTAATATTTTTCTTGGCGTTGACAAGAGCATTATTTCTCACTAGTTCTTGCAAAGACTTAATCAGCTCCTTGTTGGTAGTCTGACAAGGTAGCCTTTCTTCCAACCAGTAAGTACCTTTCCTTCCTTCAAATGTTCTGTAAAATATATGTATATATGTTTACATATATATATATATATATATATATATATATATATATAGTCTATATAATGAAAATCAAAACTAAATAATATGCGGTAATACCACTGAGTGCTTCGCAGTTAGTATACGCTATATGCGTCACGTGAATTTTTATTGTTGTTACCGAAAATAATTGTCACAAGTCGAGAGAAATTAATAAAGTCCCTTAAGCAGAATGATATTAGGAAATTTCAGAACGTCCTGTTACTGCCACGTAGTTGTTGATTCGAAGTTACGACTGAAGAGTAGCTATGTTTAACCAATGTAACTAAATCATTTGGATAAGAGTGCAGAGAGTGACTTTTACAGATAAACATCTTGGAAATATTGTAATGGTTGAGATTTTTCTGGTTTTAATGTTTCCTTTGAAAAATTTGCAGTCATTATTAAACGTTTGCCTTGAGAATTACTTTTCTGGATGTTTCAAAGATCCAAGTGTGTTAGAAGTCTAAAATGGCTGACACATTTCCTACTATTCATTTGTTATTAGTATTGTTCGCTCCTTCTGCTTTCAGTGAAGTATAAGGCCTCAGAAGCACTCACTTGCCTACTGTCATGTTCAGCCCCATCTATGACTGCCTACAAGCTTTCACTTCTTACTCACATGATCTCCTTCATGTCACCTTCGAAAACACACCCAACCTGTCACTTTTCATTCGGTTTCCACTTGACATATTGGCTTTTGATGCTGCTCAGATGTCTCTACAAAGTGTGTCCAGTCCATCTTCATTTTAGGCTGCTGGGAATGTTTTTAGTGATGCGTACACCAAGTGTTTGGACGACATAGAAGCACTGACTTGATATTCGTGTTGAAAATTCAGATCCTGTTTCTTGTGCCAATTGCTGTGAATCTCCATACTGGTTTCAGAGTAATGAACCCTCCGTCTTGCTTTACATATCCGGTCCTAGTTGGTTTTGACATCCTTCTAATTCAGTTGTTGACCCCTATAAACGAAAGTGGGTATTCTTCGATCTTCTTCTCCAAACGCTCTCATGTGACCAAGTGTTCATAGCTCTGTCTTGATGCGATGAGGATGTTCCCCACAACATGAAAAGGCTAATCGCAACGTTTGGTCCCTGAGACTGGACTGGTGGACATAGAGGTCTACCTACCCTGATCCCAAGCCTATGATGTACATGGGCCCCAGAATCTGAAAGAATCGAATACCATATGAACCAGTTCCGGTCATGGGTAACCATAGAACGCAGCTCCACTATCTTGTAGATCAGACTTCAAGTCAGAAGCTCAGAGAGTGGTCCCTTAAGACAACCGCCTTATTCGGTCTGGACATCTTGGTAGTATCCCAGCCCGCATACAAACTACGTAACAACTTAATGAGAAACAACAATCACGCACTCACTGTTACAGACTACATCTCCAAACATATTTTTGGCAACGTGATCACTTTTGGTTTTATTTTTGTATACAGGCCTTCGTGTTTTATTTTTACCATATTTACTATTTTCGGTGTCTTCACCTTCATCAGCCTCTCGCTATTGTTTGAAATCTCAGACTACCTGTACCGTTTGGAGTTGTCAGGTAATAACCTTAAGGATGCTGATCTCCAGTGCGATATCTAAAACAGATATCCTAAAACCATGTGTCGCGTTGTCTCTTGTCACCCACAATGTCCTAATACTGGTGAAAATCAGACAGCAGACAGGTCTGGTCAGAAAATGAGAAATTCTCACTATCCATGCCTGCCACATTTCAGAGACCCACATTCAAGATCCCAGTGAAATGCTTCGAATATATTTTCCATCTGAAAGTTCAAATGGCGTGTAGGTATAGGATAGAGGCATAAATCAGCTGATTGCTGCAGTTTTAAGGTGTTATCGTGGTGTGGTGTTGTTTTTAGTGGTTTTTTGGACGGAAATACGTTTACATACCGTATTTTAACGAAAAAACGTGTAAAAAGTGAGAAAAATTGTCGTTTTCAGTGTGTTGACAAAATGCTGTCCTTTCATCGAATTGACATGCTGAGGTGCATAAAAAATGTCAGAAAATGTCAATTATGATAGAAAATGCTAAATAATTCCAATTTTTGTAGTGTATTTCACTTAAATGATGAGGAGATGTTTAAATATCGAGGTAATTATGATTTCATGATCTTTAACAAATCTCACAGTAAGAAAGGAAACTGAGTTGGCTATTTCGTCAGATAACGTTGAAGAGACAGTCATTTAACTGGTACGTACTGTGTTTTAAGTTACTTATTTAACTCATCATTTCCTCACTAAAGTTTTATCATTTATAATTTCCAGATTATGGTCTTTACTTCCTCAATCACTCAATACATTTAGACATTCTAATGGGATTAAAAAGGATAATATTTGTGTAAATGATGAAATATTTGTGATATTACAAATGTATTTATCGAAATAAATATTGTTTTTAAAATTTTCCACTCCATTCATACACTATTAATACTTACTGTTGGTCGAGTCGCGAAGTGATGCCAGTGTAGAAGACGTAATATTCGTAAAATGTCATATTTACACGTGGTTGAATTTGGTCACGATGGGGTACTGTTATTGCTTTTGAGTAATTGCTTTCGCTAGGAAACCTTAAACAGGCGACATGAACAACAAAAGCCTATCTAATGAGTTACAGTATTTTATGATAACAAAATAATCAATGAAGTTTAGTGACGTAGTCAACTAATGCACGAGTCTAAACGTTGATGTGATCATGTAAGAGCTTATTGATACGAAATGATAACACAAGAGTAATGTAGTTATCTCTTTATTACCTAACGATTTCCTTTGAGATAGTGGTGTTAAACGCAACATAAGAATAACAGACTATTTGTGATAAATAGGATGTGCGTTGCAGAGTGTACTTCAAGTGCCTAGACTACCAATACAAGTCGGGTACGTATAGAACCTACCTTTGCTAGGTTATGTTTCGTTATCACAGTACGAACATATGTTTGACGGCCACTTTCTTAACAATCGTGAATAATAATATTATACGCAACCGCACTAAACGTAACTGAAACACTTTACGCAAGGCTTAATGACGCATTGAGGAAATAATAACAGTTTAAGACTGACGCATTTCACATAACTATTACTACGTCGCCTATAATTCTCGTTAACTCTGCAATGCCCTCAACATGATAAGTAAAAGAGGCAAAGTTAGTCGACATAAATGCATATATTTGCAAGCAAACAACAATCAATCAAGTTAAAAATAACTCAGAATGAAAGAGTACATATCTACACTAAAAAGAGTGAATAACAATCCAGTGAAAAAAAATCACAGTTGTAGAGTTTTTTATAGCTGCATCATAGCTATGATGACTAGTCATCATAAAGTCCACCAAACACTCTGTCCGCAACATCCGTATCAGTCTGTCTACGTTGGTAGTGGTGTTCGACCAGTCTTGGCAGTTTTCGTCACCACCAGATCAGTTCGGAGAAACTGGATGAGAACTTTTCAAGCAGAGATTGAGATCATGTTCCTTCAACCGTGTTGAGAAATATCTGAGGATGGATACATATCAGATAAATTCATCTTACCTCTGGTGAACAATTCCTTATCTTAGCTACACTGAATATGTGAAAAAGGGAGGGAACAATCACAGAGTTGGAGAAATTCTATAGATTCGTCTAGCATATATCCCACGATAGATTTCAGGAATTGTGTAACTTTCAAATAACCTGTCACATTTTCTCTTCTGTAAAGAGCAAATATTATACAAGTGACGCTTATCTATCCGTTACAACCAACTGAAGGAGATAAAATCTTCAAACTTCATACTTCTTTGATTAAGTTTCCCAGTAATATTCTCCTTGTGTGTGGATCAAATGCTTATCACATCGGTGAAGTTTATACACATGTTAACTTATTCCCTTAAGCTAAAAAATATAATGAATATCCGCTTTTATTATTGTTATTTAAAAGACCGCCTCAGTAACGTAGTACACGTATTACCGCAACATTTACGCAAAGGAAAATCAACCAATCACAGTGTGCATAAGCGACCTATAAGTGCTCAGCACCTCCATAAGCCATTTGTACCGCTACCATCTATCCTGCACCACGATCCCTGTACATTTTGGCACTTGTACGCTTTCTCCCTCGCTGTACTCTCCTACAAGCATACTCCTCGAGCTTCCTACTCCTACGGGTATAGATAAGTGGTAAATCTGTTTTTATATTATTGAGTTATCATCACATTCGTTATAAATATACGTTTGGTTACAGGCAAGTAGTGAGTCCTTTTATTTTCTGTTTTTACTCGTTCCTCAGTACTTGCAGGATAGGCAGAGTACTGATTAAGACCTAGGCAAAAGAAGTTAGTTTTTTTTGTAAGTGTGAAAGGCAAACTCACCTGAGGATAAAACCAGGCACTTACAATTGGTGAGCCCGATGTGATCGACTGTACAAGTGTTCTAATGCTGATGCAATTAAACTTATGGATGATTGTAAAGAGAAAGAAGACTTATGCTCTAGTATAGTTTGTAGAATTTGAAGTGCACTATGCCGTAGACTTATCACTTCATCTTTGTAAGCATCTACTCCAGTAGTAGATATCAATACATTCACTATAACATGAAGGCATTCAAGTTCATTCTGCCCTGATGATCTCAGCACACTGCGTATAATTGTATAGTACTTTTCAATGCATAATAGTAGCGTTTTAAATCAAATTAAACATTGTGGATGATAAGCATATATTTGAGACGAGAGTAATTTTTGACTGTCCCCTTGAGATATTCTATTTTCACTCAGTGTATCATTTATTGCATAATAAGCAATTAACTGTCCAATTCTACTCATAAATTTTATCAAAGAAATTGATGCAGACTTTGCAAATTCTTTTAACACCATTACACCAGATGCATTTTCATATAAGACATGTTCACTGATTGATAAAAACACAAAGAGTAGAGCTTCGATCTCTTTATTAAATGCAAGTTGATTAAACTCTTTATGCATCAGTTTGATTATATCATCACTGAATTGACTATCATCATTAGAGTTAGCTGGCGAGATGGCGGTCCATGTGGAAGAAGATGACGAGCAGGAGTAATTTCTTGCCACCGTCGTTGGCATCATCGGTGACGATGAGATAGACACTTCTTGTGCATTTAACCATATCTGTAAGGCTATATCATTGACATCTTCATCATATGGATATGAGCCAGGCAATGAATTCACGTACAGTTCCTGTAGCATTTTGTGCATTATTATTAAAGCACAGGGTAAGTTTATGCATTATATAATCCATCTGTTTTTCTGTAAATATTGAAAATAGTAATGCAGTTTTAGCTAACGGTGCATAGCTTTTTAACTCATTCATTCTTCCACATTTTTGTAAATTCACTGAATATAATTCTACAAGCCCTTGTAGAGTGGACTTAAATTTCGCCAGTTGACATATATGAAAATCAAGCAAAACAGCCGTTTCCCAATCCGAATTTAGTCCACCACCGTCTGATTCGAATATATTGATGAGAGAATTAATTCCAGCTAAATACAGGCGCGCTGAACAATTCATTGAGGCATAGACACTGTGTATAAGATGTAAATAAGCGACAGCTGATGAACTACTCGTCACAAAACTAGATATCCATGATCCACAAGTATGCATGGCCAATGCGCAAACTTATTCATGCTGTGTGTGCCCTACCTACAAATTGCTGGAGTATTTTTTGAACTAAACTTTCGTCTGATTGAATACCCCGTGTAATGACGCGGCAACTTGGCTGGTGTAAATTCTTCACTGATAGTTGACAAAAGACGTAATGTATTCTCTACGTTTTGTTTTGATTACGTAGATTTACCTATGTCTTCTAGTATTCTTTCATCTGATATTGACTTTTCGGTTATGTCAAAAGCAAAACCACCGAATACAAATGCGTACACCATCCACTTTAATGGATGTATCCATAGTTTCGGTGTTTTGAAATACAAGCATATCAAGGATTCATACAATTTCGTAGATACTGGGACTGGTACATCACCCTATATTCACATTCGTTATTATTTCAACTCTATTGATTCCTGCACATTTCTTGTCTTCTTTGGCTTGACGTGCATCGAACTGCCACTCGGCAAGTTCTATGTACAGACAGACAACAACATTCGTATAAATATACGTTTGCTTACAGGCAAGTAGCAATTAATCAAAACAAAACGTAGAGATTACATTACGTCTTTTGTCAACTATCAGTGAAGAATTTACACCAGCCAAGTTGCCGCGTCATTACACGGGGTATTCAGTCAGACGAAAGTTTAGTTCAAAAAATACTCCAGCAATTTGTAGGTAGGGCACACACAGCATGAATAAGTTTGCGCATTGGCCATGCATACTTGTGGATCATGGATATCTAGTTTTGTGACGAGTAGTTCATCAGCTGTCGCTTATTTACATCTTATACACAGTGTCTATGCCTCAATGAATTGTTCAGCGCGCCTGTATTTAGCTGGAATTAATTCTCTCATCAATATATTCGAATCAGACGGTGGTGGACTAAATTCGGATTGGGAAACGGCTGTTTTGCTTGATTTTCATATATGTCAACTGGCGAAATTTAAGTCCACTCTACAAGGGCTTGTAGAATTATATTCAGTGAATTTACAAAAATGTGGAAGAATGAATGAGTTAAAAAGCTATGCACCGTTAGCTAAAACTGCATTACTATTTTCAATATTTACAGAAAAACAGATGGATTATATAATGCATAAACTTACCCTGTGCTTTAATAATAATGCACAAAATGCTACAGGAACTGTACGTGAATTCATTGCCTGGCTCATATCCATATGATGAAGATGTCAATGATATAGCCTTACAGATATGGTTAAATGCACAAGAAGTGTCTATCTCATCGTCACCGATGATGCCAACGACGGTGGCAAGAAATTACTCCTGCTCGTCATCTTCTTCCACATGGACCGCCATCTCGCCAGCTAACTCTAATGATGATAGTCAATTCAGTGATGATATAATCAAACTGATGCATAAAGAGTTTAATCAACTTGCATTTAATAAAGAGATCGAAGCTCTACTCTTTGTGTTTTTATCAATCAGTGAACATGTCTTATATGAAAATGCATCTGGTGTAATGGTGTTAAAAGAATTTGCAAAGTCTGCATCAATTTCTTTGATAAAATTTATGAGTAGAATTGGACAGTTAATTGCTTATTATGCAATAAATGATACACTGAGTGAAAATAGAATATCTCAAGGGGACAGTCAAAAATTACTCTCGTCTCAAATATATGCTTATCATCCACAATGTTTAATTTGATTTAAAACGCTACTATTATGCATTGAAAAGTATTATACAATTATACGCAGTGTGCTGAGATCATCAGGGCAGAATGAACTTGAATGCCTTCATGTTATAGTGAATGTATTGATATCTACTACTGGAGTAGATGCTTACAAAGATGAAGTGATAAGTCTACGGCATAGTGCACTTCAAATTCTACAAACTATACTAGAGCATAAATCTTCTTTCTCTTTACAATCATCCATAAGTTTAATTGCATCAGCATTAGAACACTTGTACAGTCGATCACATCGGGCTCACCAATTGTAAGTGCCTGGTTTTATCTTCAGGTGAGTTTGCCTTACAAAAAAATTAACTTCTTTTGCCTAGGTCTTAATCAGTACTCTGCCTATCCTGCAAGTACTGAGGAACGAGTAAAAACAGAAAATAAAAGGACTCACTACTTGCCTGTAACCAAACGTATATTTATAACGAATGTGATGATAACTCAATAATATAAAAACAGATTTACCACTTATCTATACCCGTAGGAGTAGGAAGCTCGAGGAGTATGCTTGTAGGAGAGTACAGCGAGGGAGAAAGCGTACAAGTGCCAAAATGTACAAGAAGCGTAGTGCAGCACGCGAAGCGAAGTGGAGTAGTTCCAAAAATTGGATGAGTGAGTTAAAACAAAAGCTCAATGTACACTACAGGTTATCCCCCCCTTAGAAGGTTGGTGGGGAAACCAAAAACTTTCGATCCAAGAACACAAGAGATATGCCATAGGAGATTCGCACAACAAAAGGAAGGAAAAGAAGCGGAGAAAGAGAAGAAATTTTATAAAAAATAGAGCGAAACGAAAAAAAAGGTTGAGGGGAAGGATGAATGATATGTACATGATGTATGAAGTAAATCGGAATATGAAAGGAAAGACGCTGGTTATCTTAGTGTGGTTGGACAGAGTTTCAAGTTAATAATTTTTTTTGTAATAATTTTGTTATATGTTATACATTGTTTTTTGCATTGGATTTTTTAGCTTGTTTTTTTTATATTTTCATATGCATTATGTAATCCATTTCTTGGCACTGTCGTTGGCATCATCGGTGACGATGAGATAGACACTTCTTGTGCATTTAACCATATCTGTAAGGCTATATCATTGACATCTTCATCATATGGATATGAGCCAGGCAATGAATTCACGTACAGTTCCTGTAGCATTTTGTGCATTATTATTAAAGCACAGGGTAAGTTTATGCATTATATAATCCATCTGTTTTTCTGTAAATATTGAAAATAGTAATGCAGTTTTAGCTAACGGTTCATAGCTTTTTAACTCATTCATTCTTCCACATTTTTGTAAATTCACTGAATATAATTCTCACGACAGCGTTCTCACACACTTTCTCGGAATAATAATATATGTTGGTATCACTGGAAGTATGGACGTCATGCCCTCAAATGTGTAAAACCGTGCAGTTTTAGCGAAGCCAACCAGGCTCAGGGAAACGCCTCAGCCAGACAGTGATGGCGACAGCTGTTACTGGCAAGCAAACAAGTCGCCTCTTTTATGTGAAGGATAAAACTTCAGACACTTTGTTCCTGGTAGACACGGGGGCAGAAGTTAGCGTGATCCCTCCTTCACTATCTAGGCGATCTACACGGACACCCGGAAAACTGTCTCTCCGGGCAGCCAACCACACAACTATGCCGACGTATGGAGAGCAATCCCTTATACTGGATCTAGGTTTGCGTCGGCGGTTCACATGGATTTTCATAGTAGCCGACGTCGGTCACGCCATCCTAGGAGCTGATTTCTTAACTAATTTCAACCTGTTAGTTGACGTCAAAAATAAAAAGCTGATTGATAACAACACCTAACTACAGATTCACGGGATTATCTCCAACTATTCTGTCTACAATATCAGTATTGAAAGACCAGTGGATTGCACTTTTTCCGCCCTGCTTCATCGTTTCCCTAAAATTCTTAAGCCGTCGTACCACGTCGAGGAAGTCCCTCATACAGTGACTCACAAGATAGTTACTACGGGTCAACCAGTTCGTGCTCGCCCTCGTAGATTACCCCCGGAAACATTAGCAGCAGCCAAGGCAGAGTTTGAACACATGATGCAGCTCGGCATCATCAGACCCTCCAATAGCCCTTGGTCTTCGCCCCTACACATGGTGCCTAAGGCTGATCATGATTGGAGGCCGTGCGGGGATTACCGACACTTAAACAATGCCACCGTTCCCGACCGTTATCCTATTCCTCATCTTCATGATTTCTCCCTGACACTACACGGAAAAACCATATTTTCTAAGGTAGACCTGGTCAGGGCCTATCACCAAATACCAGTTGCCCAAGAAGATATCGAAAAACGGCCATCATCACACCTTTCGGCCTGTTCGAATTTCTCCGAATGCCATTTGGCCTAAAGAACGCAGCACAATCCTTCCAACGGTTCATGGATCAGGTCACACAAGGTTTGGACTTTGTATTTGTATATATCGATGACGTTTTAATTGCCAGCTCGTCGCCCGAAGAACATACTGATCACCTCACCATCTTATTTCAACGATTTGAGCAATATGGAGTAGTCATTAACCCCAAAAAGTGCATATTCGGTGTCCCCTCTATACAGTTTCTGGGACACCACATAACTGCGAATGGTATTACGCCTACGGAGGAAAAGGTAGAGTCCATCAAAAACTTCCCCGTACCAGATTCACTTAAGAAGGTCAGACGTTTTTTGGGGATGTTTAATTTCTATCGGCGTTTCATTCCTTCGTGTGCCTCCATCGTCCAGCCGTTAACCGACCTCCTTAAAAATGATCCTAAAAAGTTTCAGTAGTCAGCTGAAGCCCATGAATCTTTTTGCAACGCAAAAGACGCCTTATCCAAAGTCACTATGCTATCTCATATCAACCCCGAAGCATCGCTTATTTTGTGCACAGATGCCTCCCAAGTAGCTGTAGGGGCAGTATTACAACAAAAGATGAAAGGTGAAGTCACCCCACTCACATTCTTTTCTAAGAAGCTGGAACCGACTCAGACACGTTATAGCACTTTTGGAGAGAATTGTTGGCCATATATCTTGCAGTGAAGCATTTCAGTTACTTACTACAGGGCCGTCACTTCACTATTTTTACTGACCACAAGCCCCTGTGTCATGCTTTCACTACTTCACTCGATAAACACTCCCCTAGAGAAGCCAGACAGTTGCATTATATCTCCCAATTTTCAACCGACATCCAGTACATCGAAAGGGATGCGAACGTGGTAGCCGATTCCCTTTCAAGAAGTGAAATAAACCAGCTTCAAACCGCGGTAGACATCAGTCTGGATCGCATGGCTCAATTACAGAGAGATGACGTTGAACTCCAAACCTGCCTCAGAAACTCTTCCTTACAGCTCAAAGAGGTGCCTATCCCCTTATCAGATGCAACCATAGTCTGCGATGTATCTACCGGCACTAACCGTGCATTTGTCCCTCTCAGTTGCCGAAAAGCATTGTTCGACCATTTACATTCTCTTTCTCACCCAC